AGAGAGAGAGAGAGACTTATCGGCCATATAAGAGCCAAAGTAGTATTTGTTCACAAAAATTCATGTGTCCGGAGGGCTAGTGAGGGCTGTTAGACACCCAGAGAGGGAGTTATGGGTTTGGTATACGCGAGAGAAGGGCAGGAATTTTGTGGATAAGTTTTTATAATATACGCCGAAGAAGTGAATGGCATTTCCCTCCTCTCCCTTAACGCCAACTCGTGTTGTTGTATTGGTTACGCATTTTATGTCCGGACTATTAAAACTAAGCACAAAAATTCGCTCAAAGTCTGTATATAATGGATGATTGTTAACATTTATGGCCCTATTGTCCGAAAAAACTAATTTCAATTTGTATGAACACTGGGAAGGAATGGGAGGGGTAGTAGTGATGGGGTATAAAAACCGCAGAGTGTTTGCGTACCACAGGGTGTTTTGTGCGAGCGTTTGGATAACTAAAACATTTAACTTAATAATGGGAAATACAATTCAAAATTCATTACAAACACTGATTGCATGCCTAATGACTATAGGGTTTGGGTTAATTAAAAAGTAATTTAATACTGTAATTATGGCACTACAGGTGCCGATCGCTTACCCGTCGGGTTTCGATATCAAAGTTGACCCGTTTTCTAGAGTCGGCGAACACTGGCTGACAGATAAAGAGTTTGGATCCGCTTCGGCCGTCGTCTCTGTACGAGTCGATGGATCGGATGATATGGAGTGGTGTGAGGGCTGCGGACAGGTATGCGTCGCGTATACAGACGGGACGGGTGTCCAGTTTGAAGAGCTGTTGGTCCGCCGTTTGTTTAGACTTGTAAAACGTATCCAATTGCATGAAATCGTTCAGATTTCCCACAGCTATCGCATAATTATACAAATGTATGCAAATTATTATTAAGTTTTTATTTTGTAAAATAAAACTAAAAATGAAATAAAATTTTATTTATATAAGTGTATAATTAATGACGGCTTTACTGTGTTATAGTGTAGTGCACTGTAAGCGTTGTCGCGTACTGTGTATTAAAACAGTAATTCATTTAATTACTTGATTTATATATCTATCAATTATTTCTGGTTTATTACAAGTTTGCATGTATTGCACATCCGATATATTCTCGCTGTATATTCAGTATATAAGTCTTAAATAGACTTTTAAGACATTTAAGACAATTAAGTCTCAATTTGAGTGATGGCTTACAATCACACCATATATGGCCCGCAAATGCTATGTCTGGGTCTCTCACTAATAGTCGGGAGATATGTGTTGGAGATATCATTTGATGGGAAAACAAATTACTAAAATATATACTATTTATTTGCGTCTAAAACCGCTTATTATTTTGTAATCATATAAAACATGAAACAATTGTTATTTTTATGATGATTACGATATTTCAATAAAATGCCTATTTTTGGGAACAATATTTCGTGGCAGAGGTGTGTGGGGTGTGAAGTAAATGTGATTTCAGTTTTCGTAATTTATTAAACCATTGTTTTTTAGTTTTGCTTTATTATTGGTTACATAATATTTAATCATTACTTATATTAAAATAAATTATTAATGAATTATATTAATAAATAGTTATTATAAAGTGCTTATAAGGGCCCAGTGTTTAGTAAATTGGGAGCAATTATACTTTTGCTCAGTTTTTAGACCTTTCTATGGATAGACCCCTTTGAGGGGTCGGTGCCGTTGGAAATGGATATTAAGTTATTCAACATTACGAAAGCAGTACTATTTGTGTGGCATTTATATTGCAATTGTTTTGTTGGGCTATAAAACGCTGTGAATATTCATATGTGCGACAAATGGAGGTTTGGTTACCTCTCAAGAGAGAGAGAGAGAGAGAGAGAGAGAGAGAGAGCTGATGAGAGACCAGAGAAAATCCCACACAAAATAATGCAATAATAAGCAAAATACTGGTATAACTTGGAGATAGAAAAAACAAGAATTTAAAATGAAAAAAGCAATTTGTAATTAGACTTAACAGGAAATACAAACTCTTAAACTAATACATAGTATACACATAAGAGAGTATATAAAACATGTCTTTATATTGTATGTCAATAATGAGATTTTGTTTGTCTTTGGCCACAGACTGTATCATATCATTTGTAATCATATGTAATGATTACGTTATGTATTATTCTTACGGACAAAACGGATTGAAAAATATTATTACTGTATTATTATAAATATTATTCAATTATACGTTCAATTAAATGGTAATTGTTTTCGTAATTATAGGAATAAATTTGTGACTTAAAAATAACTATTCATTTAATATACTCCTTGTTTTAGATACACATACTATGGGAAGAGATTGTGAGGGGAAATGTGCACCAAATTAATGATGGGAAGGGGTGTTAGGGCTGAGCATTTCGGTTGCGATGATCTCTCAATTAATGGCAAACAATCAAATCAAATGTCTATTTAATTGTTGCGTTAAAAATTGATTGACTAAAACATATGTTTGATGTGAACTAACAGAACATAATTTATATGTAAATCAAATATACATTTTTATTTGCAACTATATCCATACATATGTATGAATATTGAGCATTTGATCATGGTGAATGTGTGGAATAGGGCCGCACCTGGTAATGCTGTGCAAACATATGTTCGGGCCTTTCATTCACCAGAAATGTCGGTTTGAGACGTGAATTGTTTGCTAAAAAACTATATCCCAAACGTAAACCTCTGTCACCACGAGTTGAACGAAACTTCAACCAACAAAAAATCATAACGTTATTGACGCCTATATCTCACGGCTTGACGGGTAAACACGTGTATGCATTGGTTAACAATACGTGGGATTATAATTATATCGATATCGTTATTATAAGTGATTATTTTGTGATACTTTTTTGACAATAAGTGATTGTCATGTCATTGAAAGCCATGGCATACGGGTATTGGGCGTCAATAACGTTGTGTATATGCCTTCAAAACTATTCACATCTGCCTATCGATGGCTTTTTGTATGCAATTTAAAACCGGTTTTTCGTACGCCTTATGATATGTTTGAATGGATTTACAGCTGAATGCGAGAGAGAGAGAGAGAGAGAGAGAGACGAGTATTTGACAGATAAGTGTCGGAGAAGTGAAAGATGTTTTTGAAGAGAAAATGTTGGATACGTTACGAAAGCAGTACTATTTGTGTGGCATTTATATTGCAATTNAGAGAGAGAGAGAGAGAGAGAGAGAGAGAGAGAGCTGGGGAGGAAGCGGGAGAGAGAGGTAACCAAACCTCCATTTGTCGCACATATGAATATTCACAGCGTTTTATAGCCCAACAAAACAATTGCAATATAAATGCCACACAAATAGTACTGCTTTCGTAACGTATCCAACATTTTCTCTTCAAAAACATCTTTCACTTCTCCGACAGTCTCTCCACTTATCTGTCAAATACTCGTCTCTCTCTCTCGCACTCACTCTCGTCTCACTTACTGTCAAACAGTCTCTCTATTTGTGTGAAAGAGTCCCTCACGGGTCCCATACTCTGTCCCCTCACTCTCTGGCACTTACAGTACAGTACACTTCACTTCGAGCCCCTGTATGTGTCCCCCAAAGCACGCGCCAAACGTTATAACAATAAGTGCTTTTGAAACGCGTAATGCATTGCAAACCAAACACTACTCACGTATTCGTACGGCGCGGGCGTTCATGGAGTGGACGGCGCGTTGGCAGCGGTCCACCCGAGCCCTCAGCCGTAGTGTCCGCTCGCATAGTGTGTGGCACTCGTCGGTCACGTCTCCCAACACGCGTTCAGCGATCCTCACGAGTGACGCCAACTGTCGGAGTGCGCCGACGAGCGCGTGATGTGCCGACCCCTCCAACTCTCCGACCCGACACTTGTCGGGCTCGAGCGGCCGACGGCACGGATACGTCGGCTCTACCGACCACTTGATGGACGGCATTGTCTTTCACTATATCTGAGACACAATTGAGGCAAACATTAGAGTTGTTGTCGTGTTTTGTCGGTTGCTTTCAAATAGTTTTATCCGCATTTCATAGAGATATAGGGCTTGTGTTGTGTTGTATAACACATACTGTGTGTGCGATCACTGGTTGGCTGCTGTGGTCTCCACTCGATTGAAGCCAACACTGAACTGAAGGCCGCTGTCTATGAGTGAGAGAGCAGTTGTGCTGTTGTGTTGTGTTGTGCCAGACGTGTCACGTGTGGGCACAACAACACACACCACGACATCTGCCGCGAGGATAACGTATCACTCAATGTGTTTATCGTTGAGAGCTTAAAATTGTTACGCGTGTTGTTATTGGATGCCATAACTTGATTGTGCATACAGTGTATGCCATACAGTGTATGGCATACACTGTATGGCTACCGATAGGAACCGTTTGTATTCAGATACAAATTGGAAAACTATTTTGAAATTAAATTTGTAGTAATTTTCAAAATCATAGCTATATTGGTGTGATTTAATAATTGATTAGAGAAACCATCACTTAAGACAATATCAATTGTTTAAATTAAATATAAATGTAAACTTAATGATAGCATTATTTACATTCATTTTATTAAATCAATTTAATCGCAATTATAATTCATAAAAACATAATTTAATAAAAAGATATTAAAAATATGGCAAAAATAAGTTTATAATAAATCCTTTACATTCAGTTTTGATCTCTTCTTATTCTTCCTGTGATTTCGACCCAACTTTCTCTTCGCCCGAAACTCAGACTTCTTATCGGTGACCGTCTTCTTGCGTTTTTTAGCGGATCCGTCAGCCGTCTCGTCATCCATGTCTTCATCGTCTGACACTTCATTATCGTCGAGCAGTTCCGCGAACTCGTCGGCCGACGCGAACACAGCGTTCGTCATGCGATCGAAACCCTGTTTATTGCGTCCTTTAGGCTTCGCTACCTTTCCCTTTCGGTGGACGTCCTCTTCGTCCGACTCTTCACCAAATGCTTCCTCCATATCCTCGTCGACGCCATCGAAAGCGTCGGCAAACTCGGGGTCGTCCGCATCGAAGTCCAACTCGTCGTCGTCTTCGCCGCCATCGGAGTCACCGCCGAAGGACTCGTCGTCATCGCTATTATGACTGTCGCCATCACTCTCTTCATCGCTTCCTTTGCCTTTCGACTTATTCTTCTGATTCTTTTGTAAGTCTTTGTGAAAATCTAAGTCCCGTTCCTTTCTGGACATCGGCTCCAATCGATCCAACAGTGACTCAAACTCAAGACTCGTGACACTATCGGCGTCGTCGTCGGCCTCTTGACTGGCCATCGATTGTCTTTGTTTCAGATAAT